CGGCGCACTTCCTGGGGGCTTGGTTTAGAGGTGTCCTTCTTCGTTGCTGTGGTTAACTGTTCACTTCCCGCAAGGAAATACCAAGCGGCAAACTCTGGGGAAGAGCCGGGACGCCAATACGGAAGTGCCACAAACTGCAGTTCATATATTGGCCGATAGGCGATGACTGCAGAAAGGAGCAATTTCCATAGACCCCAATGTTAAAATGCCCAATTTCACAGCAGAAAAAAAACGTTTCTAGCCCTGGCTGCAATACATTTTATTATGTATATAGTTAGATTCCACCTTCGTGACTATGAATCTGTGAGTGAATTGTTTTCTAACGCGACCCTTTTATTTATATTAGGTCTTAAAGTTTTTGCATAAATTAGGGCGTGGTCACTTTGATGGACAGGTACGTGCCTCACTGTCAGCTAACAGCAATTTGTCCACTCTGCTAGGCTACAACGTTAGTTAGTTGTAGTTACTGTACTTGACCCTTTAGCCGTGTTCGTGGTGATTGTGCCTTTTAGGGAATATTGTTACAAATACCAGACAATTAAAATGTCGTGCTGTGCGCTTGAATGTACTAACAGACCTTCCAAGAAGTCTACTCTCAGCTTTTTTCGGTGAGTAAAATGATAATATTATACATGTTAATCCCGTTAGCAGGTGTTTGTGTGCTTGTTAGCTTAGCTTGTTATGTAGCTTATTATGTAGCTTATTAGCCAGCTAAGGACGTAACCCTTTATACATGTGTATATATATATACAGTTTAGTTTATGATTCAGCCTTTTATAGTATATGGCTGTGACGCCCATAATGCTAAACGGGAGCAAATGTTAAAAGGGGACCCAATTATCCCAGTGGTGGCCGCCGGAGTCCACGCCGGCCGAAGCTAACGGAGCCGCAGGGGGCTAGCTCGCTAGCGCGTCCCGGCGGCTCCGTTAGCTTCGGCCGGCGGCAGAGTCCGGCATTTAACTGGAGATCAAGGAATGCAGCGAAACGCAGACTTGGTTCGCCTGCAGCCCGCTGTAGTATTAGCTAAATAAATTATGTTGAACAAGGCTTATTAAGCTGAACATCGCCACAATTGTTCTGCTATGTATCGGTACTTATTTTTATTTTATTAATGTGTGAATGACAAGCATTAAAAATAACAACAAATAGCTCATTATCTTGCAGATTGTCTCGTTTGATTATGAATGTAACGTTTATATAGTGGAACTACACTGTTTTATCAAAACCAAAGTGCCACGCAGTAACTTGGTATGCATGTATTTCAGCAGGAAAAGTGCAACCTAGATGACATTTACCAACACATGCTATATAGAAATATTTGTAAAAGTTGTTCATGCGTTATTAAGTGAATATGGCATTAACCCTCCTGTTGTCTTCGGGTCAAATCTGACCGATTTACTACTTTCATCAATCATAACTTTTTTGTTTTACATTCGATTGCATTAAGGATTTATGATATCCTTCACAGTAGACATTTGAACATATACAATTGCTGATCACCACTTTCATTGAATTTTGGATGATTTAGTCAACTTTGTAACACCTCCCTCCCTGTCCCTCTGCAATTTCCTCCATCTTAGTTTAGCTGTCTGTCTCACACACACACACACACACACACACACACACACACACACACACACACACACACACACACACACACACACACACACACACACACACACACACACACACACAAACTAAGACGGGTCATACTGAATAGTCTGTGCACACATTTTTAACATGTGATCTTTCTTTCATGTAGGACGCTTGAGGGAAGTTGCAGCGCCTCGGCCAATGTGATGTCTTCCCCACGTGAAAGAGATTGAAGGCATAATTTATAACTTGAGACAATTTTCCAAAAGTTATGACTTTTATTGGCTTAGGTAGTAATGGATTACATCCAACACGAATCAAGATCGTATAGAAAAAAAGGAAAGTGTAATCCTTAGTTACATAGGAAAAGATGTAATCGGATTAGTTTGACTTTTTTTAATAATAGGGAAACTCAGGATTACAATCTTATTCAAAACCTGAAAAGAGCATATAGTGTTTGTTGTAAAATGATCAGATGTTCTCTCTTCTCTGGAAGCGGTACTGTTCTGTAGGCTAATACTTTAATTGTGAATCTATACACCTACTGCCTGAATCAGCTTTATGTATATTATACATTTAAGTAAAAAAATCATATTAATATTTCTTCTCTCCTGTGTTTATTTGCATTGCATTTGATATTGAGGTAATCCAAAAGAAAAATAAAGTTATCAGGTTACAGTACATTACTTTATATCTTGATACTCACATTAAGTTACTGGTTGCGTTTTTGGCAAGTAGCCCTCCCAACCCTGTACATAAGTTATATCATTTTAATTACTGATACAGTTGTTGCACATCTTTAATTTATTTTCTAGTGTACTTAAGTCGTACATTTTCAATGTGAAATAGATTGGATTAAATATAGAGTAAAAGCACAATCTTAAATTATACATTTATAATTTTCCTATGCTTATTGTTAATGTAGTGGTGTTATAAACAAAATGTTGTCGTAAAGGAAATTAAGATGTTTTTTATTTGTTGACAAAAGATTTAAAGTTGATGCTCACAACATGTGGGAACTTTTATTGAGAAAAATGTTTCTATTGTAAAACAAATAATTATCTGCATACTGAACAATTTAGAAACTCTCTAAAAGGTATTATTTTCTGTGATGTTACGACCCTGTAGGGATTGTGGGTATTGCATTTCATAATTACATTCTATGGTATGCTTATGACATATTTGATGCCAAAATACATGGGATTAGGGGAGACCTTCTTGGTGTTTGCATTGTCACTGATAAATGACAAGGTAGTATTCATTGTCAAGATTTTGTGTTTTTAAACTTGGGACTCTTTTCAGACTGCTACGGCTTGGGAAAAGATTTGAGCCTTAATGTGTAATGTTTTCTGTATTGTATGGTTAGCTTATCCTTTCATTTGATAGTCAGATTTGGATGTGATAGCTAACATTTTCAGTAAGCAGTAAACAAAAGAAGTGAAAATATGAATGTGATTTATTTTAAATATTTACAGAATTATTTTAACAAATAAAATAACAAAAAACATAATAACAAATTTAAAAAAAAGGTTTGACAGACAGCCATGCCCAGCATGGGCCTGGAGAGCTACAGAGTCCATTGGGGGGAAGAGGGGGGGTGGGATGTGGGGAAGAGGAAGAGCAGCCATGTTAACAGTGTTATGGCTACAGATGTAATATCTAACTCAACATTAGCCATGACAGTCTGGGCTTAGCAAGGGCCTTAGAAAACATACTCTAAAGGCCAAATCCAAAAACAGTGATACTGACATTTTAGCAGTTCACAGTCTTTGGAGATGGTCTTTCAGGCAATTGGCTAGTGACTTTAAAAAAATATCATTTCCCCTAGGGGTGAAATGAACTCTATCTCGCAAAAAAAGCCCAGGACTGTCATGTCTAATGTTGGAGTGGTCAACAATGGCACCATTTAGGCTATGAACAAAAGTAGCCATAACACTGTTAACAAACTTCCGGGCCTTGTCAATTTTGACAGGATTTGCACCAGCCCTCCATCGGCACCTCTGGTTGATCTGGGAGAGCATGATCTTCATGCCAGGGTGCCGATGGTGAAGCTGGTGCAGGTCCTCCTTCATCTGATTCACCAAGTGAACACTGGGCACATCCCCCAAGTCGTTGCCGCCACAGTGGATGAGGAGGACATCCGGGGCTGCTCTTGTTGGAAAAGAAGGGGAGGAGACCTCTCCAGCGCAGTCCACCCCAACTGAACCAGCAGGCGCGAAGGTCGAGGCCAAGGTTGCTGCCGATGGTCTCTGTAGCTCTCTGGGCTCCACGCCGGACATAGCTGTCTCCGATTATCCATACAGTCACTATGGGAGGAAAATAAATGAGAGTAACAAATGCTTCAGATAATGAGGAATATCAAATTAAGTATAAAGGATTGCTCATTTTGTTCCTTTGACAATAACATACAACATAACATATGAAATCACACCTGACGTATATATATATATATATATATATATATATGTATATAGATATAGTATGTTTGTGTGTAATGTCAACCATCTGAAGTCATGTAAAGTAAGCCAGGACCATCAACTTACAGGTTGTGGAGGTTGCCATCTTTTTTTCTTAATGCTGAAAGAAATAAAAATGGTTTAATCAATATAAAAGCACCTTTCTTTTTCTACAGTCATATTTAATTTATACTCTCACAGCGCTGTTGAAACAGTAACGTTGGATTAAATGTACAATTGATGGTCAAAAAGTATAAATATGCAAATTTTGCATTTGTTAACCCATGCATATTACACTGTTTATATTTGAATCATGGAGAAGCATTTTTAAACTTGTATAGTGTAATATCAAGAACAGTTAAATCATAGGGAAAAGCTTTGTTTAATTCACAATACGCTAATTCCTTTACATACTGTATAGGCCACAGTTTATGGCTAATTCCATAGGCTAATTCACGCAACACTGGCCATATCTCTGCTAGTTTACAAAGTTGTTACAAATGACATTTATATTTGAAAAACGGTGAAGCACTTAAAAAACAATTGAATAGTGTAGGTTCAAGAACATTCAAATCAAAAGGACAAGTTTTGTAAAGTTACAGGGGATCTTACCTTCAGAACACCGGGAACGAGGAGCAGTGACCGCAAGCTGGGTTGTTAGCTTAATACTGTGAGCATGTTAGCTTAGCTTCTTAGCCTGAGCTAGGTCTGGAACTTCACGGCAGTTGGCAGAAGGTCCCGCCCTGTCCCGCCTCGTCTCCGCCACGGCTCCGCCTCTTTGCCCTTATTTGGATCAGGATGTAGCAGGCGGGAGTTAGACTCTGACGCCACTGTCGAGCCGTTAGTGGCCGACTCCGCCTACTAAGGGCTTCTCGGCAACTCTGCAGAATCCTATGGGTGACGTCACGGACCCTACGTCCATTTATATATACAGTCTATGGGAAATACAGATGTTCTCCTCGAAAGGGGAAGTGCATAGAAAGTTCATCTCCTCGAAAGAGGAAGTGCGTATTACAGGTCTTTATGAGTACCTATGTTATTAAGGATTTTTGTTATACATCCTGTTTATATTGCTAAAGCATTAAACTATACGATACATGACTATGGCATTCAGAGTTTTAACACAGTTTTTAGCATATTTAAGCTTTATATAATAAAATACATTGTTCCATTTTCTTCCTTTCTTCAACACTAACCAGCACTAATTACACACCTTTTTGCGTCACCATGTTTTCAGTGAATAAATACAGGTTTGATATCCCTTTAGTCTTTCTATTGTTCCCTTCATCCATCGTACCTCTAGCAGGAGCTGCTCTGTGTGTTCCCACTCTCGGACATGTACGACTTGCTCTTCCTGGAGTATTTCATGGAGCTGAATTAAATCTTCATCCTCGCCACGGTCCGGCTGCTCCTGCACAGCAGAGTGTTCTTCACGTGGTTCCTGAAGTCCTTGGACACAAAGTAGTAGATAAACGGGTCCAGGCAGCTGTTGAGGCTGGCCAGGCATAAAGTGGAGATGTAGAAGCTGTAACCATTATTAATCACTCCATCCTTCAGGAGAGAGTAGTGCACCACCAGCATGATGTTACTGGGGATGAAGCACACCAGAAAAGTAAACAGCACGGTCAAGATCAGCACCACGGTTCTGTGGCGGTTCTTTGCTGCTTTGCTGGCCTCCATGCTGTTCCCCAGTGCTCGGAGAAGCAGAACATACGCCACCACGATCACTATACAAGGGACCAGGAACACCACCGATCCCATGAAGATGAAGTAGTAGTAAGGCAGCTGCACAGAGGGGAACGGGTTGAGACGGTCCTCGATGATGTTGACATCGTGGCAGGTGGTGATGTTGGGGTCTTTGAGTTGTGCGGTGTGGTCGTACAGGTACAGAGGCGTGCTGGTGATCCAGATGAAAGCCCAGATGGCCACGCAAACACCGACCGCCACTTTGTTGTTGTTCCTCTGCTGGGACAGAGGGTGAGCCACCACCCAGTACCTCTGCACACTGAGGCAGGCGATGAAAAGCACGGAGCCGTACATGTTCCCATAGAAGAAGCTCACAAAGACTTTGCACAGCGCCTCCCCGTAGATCCAGTTGTTGCCATTAAAATGGTATTGGATTTTTAGAGGTGCCAAAATGACAAAGAGCAAGTCAACCAGAGCTAAGTTGGCCATGTAGATGGAGGACGGGTGCTTCTTCTTCATCCTAAAGAGGAACACCCAGATGGCCATGCCATTGGCAGGAAGTCCCCACCGCAAACACAATGATGTAGAGGATAGGGATGAAGACTGTGGTGAGATTACTCTTCAGTGTGTCAATTGTTTGCTGGCCCACAACAACTTGATATGAGTTGACAGCATCCATAACAGCATCCATAACAGGTTCCAGAATCCCATAGTCTCCTTTCGGTACTACTAAAAGAATGGACAAAATGATGATATTCGATTAATCATTTTTCAAACAAAAGATACTGAACTTTGTATATTCCTAAAAGTTAATAAGATGCTTCGTCGTTTTATATCCTATGTCAAGGAATATTGTTTGACCAAAATAAATAAATAATTGTTCTATGGTTATTTTTTCGACACTTGTTAGGCAAAAGGTTAAAAGATAAATAACTGGTTCATGAATCTTTAATAAATAAGTATTTCTAACTGCCTTCTAACATTGCTCAACACAACTGTAGCTTGAGCAATGTAATGTACAATAAAATACAGCTATATTTGTAAAGCCCTTCGAAACCACAGGAAAAAAAGTGCTATACAGAGAAATAAAGTTCAAAAGTTGAAATATGCAGTTTTTCCTTAATATCAAGAGGTATATGGAGGCGTGTGGTGCAGTGGGTTGTGCGTTGGTGTTCGGATCAGGCGGTCACAGGTTCAAACCCCACTGCAGTCAGCATGTCGTTGTGTCCTTGGGCAAGACACTTCACCCCAAAATGCTCCTGTGGGGATTGTCCACAGTATTGAGTATGTAAGTCGCTTTGGATAAAAGCATCTAACAAGACAACAAGATTTCCACACTAATGATCTTTAGCAAGTGTGCAGAGCAATGTTGATTTAAAATAGCAATTTGAAGGTTGGATATTTGTAAAAACATGTTGTGTATATATTAATAATTTAAGATGTAAATTAACTTAGTTGTAGTACTTTCTATTTGTATTGTGTCATTTGGTGGAATCAATGTGTGCATTTGATACAGATAATGGAGCAGAACTTTAGGGCCTCATAGTATAGCCCTTAAAGTCAAATAAGTCTGCAGACTTGTCAAAGCATTAATTCATGGTTTTTACTAACCGGTATCAGTATGTTGTTACTTCGGCATCATTTTGAAACGTGTATTACAATTAAATCACGTTAAAATATGTTCATTTTGTTGTAGTTGCAGCCCCGTAGCCAGCGCGTCTTGTTTGAATGATGCGAGTAAACACAGCTGGCAGCCGAGGTGAAACTCGAGCGTTTAGACTAGAGAACAGAGATGCTGTGGCTCATTGTGCAATCATTACCTGGGAAGAGTCATATTCCAAGGACAATTATACTGAATTCATGCTGTGACAGGGTGACAGTTTCATTGGAAGAACATTGAGAAAGAATTGTGGTGCAAGAAGTAAGAAAAGCAGGAATGTACAACACACACACACACACACACACACACACACACACACACACACACACACACACACACACACACACACACACACATTATTTATTTAGATTATTTTTTACATTGTAGATTAATACCGAAGACATCAAAACTATGAAAAAAGATAATATGGAATGATGTGGTAAACATAAAGGTGTTAAACAAACCAGTATATGATTTATATTTTATATTTTTCAGAGTAGCCTGCTGCAACCTTGGGCTGCTATGCTCTCAGTGCTTTGTCTCCCTGCTCCTGCCTGTTGGCGTCAGCTGATAGAGGTGTTATAGTGCTTTATCTTGTTATGCACAATGTTGATTATTCTCTCAGAACTAGCTAAATACATGGGTAAAGGTTCTACTTGAGCCCAATTTGAATACCATAAAGAAAGTATTAAAGCCAGCTCAAGCTAAATGTCAAATGTATTTAATTAATGTACAGTTGTTTTGATTTATTTATATTAATAGAGTTGTACATATTTCAAAACGCGAAGTGTAATAACTGCAGTTGCCTCCCTGTCAGAATGACAAAGATCCTCAGTGAAGCACAAGCCCATGTTTTTCACTAAATTGTAAGAACAACTTATTAAAAAGATCAGTTCAATGCAACTAATGTCATCTTAGTGTTATTGCATGATGTTAAAATTGGTTTGCCATGAATTTAGTGATGGATTGTAAACATTTGAAATGTAGCATTGAAGTGTTTCTCAGTTACAATGTTGTTGTTTTAATAAATCAGACTCTGATGGTGCAGCGCTGTACTGTACCTCTTTATATAGGCATTTTGTCCCTAACAAATAGTTTTTGCGCTGATCAGGGGGTACTTGGCTGACATTTCTTTTCAAATGGGGTACATTATTGAAAAAAGTTTGAGAACCACTGGTTTAGAATGCAGCATGTATCTTAAATTAGAGATGAGTCTGGTAATGTCTCGCGAGCTCGGTATGTAAAGTGGGCTCCTCGACACAATAAAGAGAGAAACTTAGGTCTTACCGGTTTCCCAGAAATCCATATAGTCTCCACTTGAGTCCGAATCCATATCTGTGTGTTTACACGCTCTCAGCTTTGCTCTTCTTTAATAAAGTCGCCCTCTAACTCCTTAAATGTTGCACTACCTTCAACCTTGAGAGACACACCCCAAAACTTTATGTAGAGCGGCTGTACGTGATCTCTGACCCGCCTACCTGCAGTAGTTTCCCCTTGAGGGTTTCTGTGGAGTCAAACCAGGGAGGAGATCAAAGATGAGATATCAATACGTTTAACAAAACAAATAAAATACACTAGCACACAATATTTTACCTTCATGCTGGCAGTTTGACAGTCTAAGGTTACTATGGAAATATTGCATAAGTAACTGTTTCCAACGATTTTTTGTGTTACTTATTTTCTCACCTTCTACGTTTGCATGTACTAAAATAGAAATGTGATAATCATTTGATTATAACGATCTCTTAGAGAAATCTGAGATATTGGGCTATATAAATAAACTTGAATTGAATTGAATATATAAGTTTGGCATTTGTTTGATTTAATCGTGTTTGCAAATTAAAACATGGAAATGTTTTAGTTTTTCTTTAGTTTACAGCCATATGGCACACACATATAGACTCCTGTTTCACAGCTTTGTTTTCATAAATATATTTTTTTTAAAAGCTTGTTTTATTAAAGATTAGTAGGTCACTGACTCTAATTTATTACTTTTTTCACAGTGCATCAAGTACATTTTAATAACATTTTTTTAAATATGTCAGAGTAAGAAGGATCATGTTTCCATCTTACCTGTTAAGCCCCGAGCCTGTTTTCCAGGTCTCAGGCTCGAAAATGACATTCCCAGAACAAATGACTATATCTTCACTTCTAAAAGGTGTAACTTAATAATCTTTTTTCTCAAAGCAATGATAAACCTGTGAGTTGGATGTAGAAGAGATTTGACATTTCTCTGGAACCCTTCGTCGATTTTGATGATTGACATCTCTTTTTAACCGCTGGAGACAATGGAATCGAGGGGAAGTTCCACATACGCACACACGTTACCAAATCAGGAGTGAGAGTTCCTCTTTGGTTATATGATGTGTTGAGGAAACGTGGTTATGCAGCACTAATTACACACCTTTTTGCGTCCCATGTCTGTGGGTGTTGTGGAAACTTTCACTCGTCAATGATCCGGAGATGTACTAGTAATAATAATATAATAATATAATAAAATTGGTCGAATGCAAACAGATTTGTTTTTGGGGTTCTTTATTCGAAGCTTCAACGTTACATGTCATACATAATATAGAATAGTCTGCAGGAGTGCACACAGAGGTACATGTGTGTGTGTGTGTGATTTATAGAGGACTGTTGCTGTGCAGACAAAGAGAGATAACACTTTCTGCTGACTGTTATCTTGCAATGTTCTTTTGAGGAACAATAACTATACTGTTCAAATGTGAACTTGGCAGGAAGCATCTGGGTGAACAACAAGTCGAACAAAGAGACATGTACTGAATACAGTTTTCATCATATAAGCGTTGCATTTGGTTTTACCATATAAAGTAATATAAGAAATTGCCACTACATGCCCCCTTTTGATTATACTTTGATCAATCATGAAAATAAAACAAATGACAGGATGGACTGATATAACACATCAATGAATACACCCCATCGCTGGTTTAAGTAAACACATCACAAACATATCATGGAAAGTGGCTGTTTTTATGGAGGACAGACTCTGCGGTATTGTAAGCATAAGAGGAGGGTTTGAGCTATGTTACAATGTAAATATGTCAGAGTAAGAAGGATCATGTTTTCATCTTACTTAAAGGTTCTCTCCTGCTTTTGGTGAACAACTATGCCAGCTCGCCTGTTAAAGACTTCATCCCCCATACTGCACTGGGGATTCTGCTCCTCATCATTGCAGTCCTCTTAGCCTATGCAGGTTAGTTTAGTTTATTCTTATTAACTGAATCAATGGTTAACTTGTAATTGGATAAGCTCACGGTCTTCCTCTCCTCTGTTTGCTCTTCCTCTCTAAGGGATCTGTCGCAGCCTGTCCCACGCCCAGCTGTTTTCTTCTGTGTGTCTGACTGTCTCTGCCCTGTGGTGTGGGTCCGGTCTGGTGCACATCCTGGTGGGTCAGGGGGTGCTGCAGCCCTCAGAGCTGAGAGCCTCTCTGGTCCCGGGCCTGGCAGAATTCACCTTAGCTCTGCTCGTCATAGGTGGCGTGGCAATAGCAGTGAAGAAAGCTGTTCTTTTCATTACATCCTGTCAAACATTTACATTCCTGAAACCCCATAGGTTGACAGTTTTACATCATTTCTTGATATTGAATTATCTTCATTAATAAAAATCAATCAATTAATCATTGTGAAGGTTAAATGGTACCATGTTTACCAAGCAACTGTTGTTAATGATAAACAGGACTTGAGAGTAAACATGTAAATCCTATATTGTATAGTTTTTCTTACAGACACTTTTCTTATTTAACAAAAGAAAGACATACTTTTATTCATTCCCGAGGGGAAATTAGTGAAATGAGAAAGGGCCAATGAGTCCCGTCTGCATCCCTCCTCGACTGCGTGATGAGACGAAGACGAGTGACTCACTCCACACAGGAATTTAATCGGTGACGTAATGTTAAAGGAGTTTCACAGAAACTGCATCCTGTTGTTTTATTATTTATTTAAGAAACTATGTCACAGTAACACCAAACTCAAACATTAAATCAACACTTCAATACATAAAAAATGCTGGCTGCATG